TGTTTGTTTGTCTTTTCTCTTCTTTTTCCTTTCCTTTCCTTTCCTTTCCTTTCCTTTCCTTTCCTTTCCTTTCCTTTCCTTTCCTTTCCTTTCCTTTCCTTTCCTTTCCTTTCCTTTCCTCTCCTCTCCTCTCCTCTCCTCTCCTGTCCTCTCCTCTCCTCTCCTCTCCTCTCCTCTCCTCTCCTCTCCTCCCTCTCCCTCCCCTCCCCTCCCCTCCCCTCCCCTCCCCTCCCCTCCCCTCCCCTCCCCTCCCCTCCCCTCCCCTCCCCTCCCCTCCCCTCCCCTCCCCTCCCCTCCCCTCCCCTCCCCTCCCCTCCCCTCCCTCCCCTCCCCCTCCCCTCCCCTCCCCTCCCCTCCCCTCCCCTCCCCTCTCCTTTCCTTTCCTTTCCATCTCCTCCACTGTTCAACATCAAAGGCTTTTCTTATTCTTACAATCTCCTGGAGGTGGGGGTTAGCATGACAGGAGGTCTACTTCTGGTTCATCCTCAACCTGAGGAGGTTCCCTTTGGGACCCTAACCTTATGGAGGAAGGTTTTCTATTACACTTTCCATGTCTGCCAGAACCCAGACTTTAATGCTGAACTCATGGGCCTTGGGAGGGCTTGAGGAATAAAACCCAAGTTTCCTTAGTTGGCAGATGTCCTCAGAGGCAAAAGCAACTTCAGTGTTCTGTTTCCTCTCTAGATTCCAATTTCATTTAGATTTTGGCCCCATAAATCCTTACTATCTTATCTTTTTCATGCTTTTCAGACTTTTGCAATCTGTGCACATTTTTTAGTTGTTTTCAACTGGGGATTCATCTAAATAGTCTAGTCCCGTGGTCGGCAAACTGTGGCTCGCAAGCCACATGCGGCTCTTTGGCCCCTTGAGTGTGGCTCTTTCTAAGCCTTAGGAGTACCCTAATTAAGTTAATAACAATGTACCTACCTATATAGTTTAGGTTTAAAAAATTTGGCTCTCAAAAGAAATTTTAATCGTTGTACTGTTGATATTTGGCTCTGTTGACTAATGAGTTTGCCGACCACTGGTCTAGTCTGTTACATTACCCAAAATATGACTTCCTTTAAGTTTTCAGACTATCAAACAACCACGGGCAGAGGAAGGAAATCTCTTAAATGAAGTAGCTATAACTGTTTAGTAAATAATTAAAATGAGATCAGTTAACATAAATAAAAAGTATAGGAGTTAGTCAATACTGTATTGTAGAGGCAAAATCCATAGTAACTAGTACTTTCAATATTAAAAAAGAGGGACTATATTATTTACAATTTTACAAAAAGAACACAGATACTCAGCAAAATGAGATTAAAATGACAAAAGTAAATAAATGAAAGAATGAGAAAAATGTAAGTAAACTAAAAGCTGATTCTTGAGGGAGGGGAGATAGGAAAGACCAACTTAACTAATGAATTAGGAAAATAACACAAAACAAAATGAAAGATCAAAGAGATGTGACACTGATAAAAGCTTGCTTTTGTAGGAAGATAGTAGGTACCAAGCATTTTCCAAGTCTCCTCCCAGAGCCCCAGGGGCGTAAGGCATGAAGTCAAATCAGGAAGGATCCAAACCTTCCTCCCTCTGACTCATCCAGAGAAGGACCATTTATAGTGATACCCAAAATACCACGAAGGAGGGATAAGCATTACAAATTGTGTCAGGAGCCCCAAAGACCACCCCCAGTTTCGAGGATTCTCTAGAAGGACTCACAAGACAAAGCATATATTTGTAGGCTGTGATCCATGACAATGAAATATGCGAAGTTGTGGAAAAGGCGCATGGAATCAAGTCCGGAGAAAACCAGGCACAAGATTCTGAGTCCTCTGCAATGGAGTCCCACAGACGTGCTCATTCCTCTGCACACAACTGTGACAGCACCTGTGACGTGGTGTCCTCTGGGGTTTTCACTGGGGGTTGGTTACCTAGGCAACCTCTGCCTGGCATGTTCCAAAATCTCAGACCAGTTGAAGGAAGCAGATGTTCAGCATGAACCAGATTGTTTGCCCAAACAGTCCCAGCATAGTAAACAACCCCTACCACTCATGGAATGGTGAGAACCCTCCCAAAATTCAAGTCCCCAAATCCTGTCTACCATAGGCCAACAACATTGCAAGTCAGCAGGCCTTCCTAAGGATAGCAGACTTCTCTATACACAAAATTTTATAAGAAAAACATCATTCTTAATTGATTTTATTGTGTATCTAGAAAATATAAAGGACTCATTTGATAAACTATTAAAATGAGTAAGAGTTTACAAATATGGCTTATGTAAAATATGTAAAAAATCAGTAACATTTGGTTATACTTACAGCAACCTAGACAAAAACAAACCCCAAAACTAGGTCCTGTATGCAATAGCAACTAAAACATATATAATGCTTGAGGATAATTTTAACAAAATAAGTAGTGATGGCATGACAAAAAAAATACAAGTTTTATTAATAATGTAAAATAAGACTTGGAAAAATAACCAGATATTTATTCCTGATTAGGAAGACTGCATATGAAAATAACATTTCTAAATTAATTTATAGATTCAATGTAACTCCAATTAAAATCTCTATTCCTTTAAGTTCCTTCTTTAAAAGAAAAATAATTATTTTTGCCTACATTGACAAAGTGCTCCTAAAGTTCATTTGGAGAATAAAAAGGGAAAGAAAATTCTTTTTAATAAAAAATTAGTTGTGGGAGGATTAGTCCTACTCTGTTTTAATCATCTTACAAAGATATGATTAAAACAACGTGTATTTGTACAAAGAAAAAGCTAGATCAATAAAATAAATGTCTTACTATATGAATGACAAGAATCCATACATCACAAATCAATGAGGAAGAAAAAGACTACTAGCCAATATATGATATAGGAATAAGTGTTTAACAATAAGAAACGCATTACCTCAGGCCCTAATTTGTTTTCAGAGGAAGCCAAGTATGTCTTTTTTTTTATTATTATTACTTCCAGTGGTCATTATGTGACACCTAATTAAAGCCAAGATATATTTGCCTTTGAAAAGGATTTATAGGATTATATGCTACTTCTATATGTCCAAAGTAGCTAAATAAAAGGGCAAAAAGTAGCTAAACAAAAGGGCAGAAAGGCCTGGGGGAAATATTGCAAAGAGCTAATATCTTTGTTATAAAAATAAAGATACATATTTATATGAGGCAGAGGTTATAGTAGAAACTAACAGCCCTGTGGCCTTGGGGAAGTTATTTAGCTTCTCTGAGACTCAGTTTTCTTCCTCTTTGCCAGGATCGTGGCAAGGATTTAAGGTATAAGCAAACAAATCGGTTTGGCTCAGTAGATAGAGCATTGGCCTGCAGACTGAAGGGTCCTGGGTTGGATTCCAGTCAAGGGCACATGCCTGGGTTCCGGGCTCGATCCCTAGCAGGGGGCATGCAGGAGGCAGCCACTCAATGAATCTCTCTCATCGTTGATTTTTTTGTGTGTGTTTTTTTTTACAGAGAGGAAGGGAGAGGGATAGAGAGTTAGAAACATCGATGAGAGAGAAACATCGATCAGCTGCCTCCTGCACACTCCCTACTGGTATGTGCTTGCAACCAAGGAACATGCCCTTGACCGGAATCGAACCTGGGGCCCTTGAGTCCGCAGGCTGATGCTCTATCCACTGAGCCAAACCGGTTAGGGCTCGTTGATGGTTCTATCGTTCCTTCTTCCTTCCTCTATGAAATCAATAAAAATATATTTTTTTTAAAAAGGAAAAAACAAACATTAAAAAAATAAAGCATATGCAAAGTTCTTAGCACAATATTTGACATATGTATCATGGTTGCTCAACAAATGATAGTTAGTACTAACTACTCAGTGTTAGTACCACTACTAATGGTGGTAGTCATCACAGTAAGAGCTCACTACGTAAGAAAACATTAAATTCCCCCAAAATAAATACACAAAGAATGTGAACAGAGAGCTCTCAAAAGAGGAAATATAACTAATAAACTTGGGAAAATGTTCAACCTGACCAAAAGTCAAAGAAATACAAATGAAAACAAGATAGCATTTTTTGGCCTACTAAGTTATCAACAATTTAAAATCAGTAGTGGTACCCAGAGCTGGGACAGTGTGCGGAAACGGGTATTTTCATTCATTTCTGAGAATATGTAAATTAATACATATATAAGTGATGTGAGAATATGTACTGCCATTTCAAAAATAATCATATTCTTTGTTTCAGAAATTTCACTGCTGAGATTCATCCCTAGGTCAGAGCCCCAAACATGGAAAGGCTGTAGGCATAAAATGTTAAGTGTCATTGTCATTGAGTAATTGGAAACAACCCAGCCATCCAGTGATGGGAGGACTGAGTAGGATTCGCTCAGGGGGTATGGTGATTACACTGATACCACACAGAAAATACAATGAGAGAGAGAAAGCAGGATGCAGTGTTTTCTGTGTATTGCATAGCAAACAAATCTGGAAGGATATACACAGTTCAAATAAAAACTAGGATCATATTAAAGTAGTATGATTATGGAGAATTACTACCTTCATAACTTAAAAATTATACTTCATTAAAACTGTGTTTTCCTGATTATTTCCAAATGGACTCTTTCTCTTTTAAATGACACCAAAAATTAACTTCAAAACTCTTAACAAAAGCCTATAGCCCTGATTTTTTATATTGGTCCTCTAGAGGGAGCACAAGTGCTTAAAATACACCAGAACCATAACTTAATCTCCTATGACTACACAGTAGTCAAGAATTTTAGCGCTACAAGGGGCTTCAAAGATAATCTAGTGTGTTTTCTTTAGTCTTAAGGATATACAGAAAACAACCTCTAGCTATAAGTCATTTTGTTTCTATTATTAGTGCTTCTTTTAAATGACACAGGCTTTTTTTTTTTTAAATATATTTTATTGATTTTTTTTACAGAGAGAAAGACAGTTAGAAACATCGATGAGAGAGAAACATCAATCAGCTGCCTCCTGCACATCTCCCACTAGGGATATGCCCGCAACCCAGGTACATGCCCTTGACCAGAATCGAACCCGGGACCCTTCAGTCCGCAGGCCGACGCTCTATCCACTGAGCCAAACCGGTTTTGGCAACACAGGCTTTCTTGTGTTGAGTATATAATCCTTTTGGGTTGAAGTTCCCAACGGAGAGGAAGAGTACAAGAAAATCAAGGCTGCAAACTATCCTCAAAGCCCTAATATTTCTGTCATGAAATTACAATCTAATGATATCCCCTGAAATTCCAAAGAATAGTGCTATGGGCCCATTTAATGATTTTGGGGTTTTTTTTGGTATCCTGTTAAGATTGGTTTCCAGAGAGTCCCCAAGATAAGAGTTTGCAGCGTTGATGTGTGGTTAATTTGACGATGGGTCTATCCGGGCGGGACAAATATGGTTCTAGTTGGGGGCATGAAATGTGTGTCTCTTGCTATGACAATTGTAAGAGGAGATGGGGTTTAGCTTTGGATGGTCTTCAAGTTACCTCTGGGCTCAGCCACTCTCTAGCTCTGAGTTCACTCTAAACTTTCTCATCTGTTTGTTAAATTTTTGCCTCAAAGCTACTTGGAACCAAGAACAAAATGAAGAGCCATGGCTTCTTCAGAAGCATCTATTCCTCCCTCCAAGTTTATATATTTAATGGCAACAATAGATGGAGATGGTAGGAGCTTGAGAATATAGCAAGTCCTGGTAGCTGCTTCAAATACCCACCTGGCTCCACACATACTCATCCCCATATCACTGACCATATTCCTTATGCTGTAATCCACATCCCTGTGGTTATTCTGTAACTACTAATCTGTCCTGCTTAATTCCTTCATCTTTTCACCCATAGTAGGAATGTATACATTAAATATGTGCAGCTTTTTTGCATGTCAATCATACTTCAATTTGCAAAAAAAGAACACAACATTTAAAAAAGACAAAGAAAAACAATAATGAGATAATGTATATGAAGACTTTAACAGCTTAGGGGATATAGTAAGCTCTTAACAAACTGTAGTCTTTTTCTTTTTTAAGTCAAACCTCAGTCTTTTTTAAAAAAATATTTTTATTGATTTCAGAGAAGAAGGGAGAGGGAGAGAAAGATAGAAATATCAATGATGAGAGAGAATCATTGATTGGCTGCCAACCGGGGGTGCCCCTGACCGGAATCGAACCTGGACCCTTTAGTCCAAAGTCTGACGCTCTATCCACTGAGCCAAACCAGCTAGGGCAAACTGTAGTCTTTTTTTATCATTATCATCTCACGATGAGCTTCATTCGGGCAGGGACCATATAGCATTGCTCAGGACCTGGCTCAGTGATTAAATAGCCGACACCTGCTGAGTGATTTGTATGAGCCAGGCCCTGAGTTCAACCACAACCTTCGAGGTAAGTACTGTTATTGCCCCCATATTACAGATGAGGACACTGAAGCACATAGAAATGAGGCAACTTGCCCAAGGACAAAACTAAAATTTGAATTCAAAGCAATCTGACTCCAGAGCCCACGCTCTTAACACTACACTGTGCTGCCTCAGCCAATGTATGCCTCAATAAGCTGTTGCCGAGCTCGGTCACGGCGGCTCAGTGGTTGAGCATCAACCTATGAACCAGGAGGTCTCAGGTTCACAGCTCCATCCCCAGTGGGGGGCATGCAGGAGGCAGCCAATCTATGATTCTCCCTCATCATTGATGTTTCTGTCTCTCTCTCCCTCTCCCTTCCTCTATCAGAAATCAATTAAAAAATAAAACATAAACTGTTGCTGTGTGAAAAAATTAATGTAGATTTCTGAAAATGCAATTTCTGGGTCTCAGAACATACACATATTGCAATGTAAGTTATTCATTATAATTTTAAGTTTTTTAAAAAGCAGTATAAAATTTTTAAATAATATTATCACAATATGGACACAAAGGTGCGCAGAAGAAATATTGGGAAAAAACACCACATCAAAGTGTTAGGAGTGGCCATTGTTGTTGAATACATTCAGGGGCGGCTTTTTTTTTTAATACACCTTTTTCCAAAATTTCTTTAATGCGCTGTTATTCGGCACAGACTGACTAACCATAGCCTTATTTTTGTGTTGTATGTGCTTTACTGCTTTATTGTTTGTTCTGACCTTAGACGCAAACATTTCTAAGAGAAGAGAATTTTCATGATTATATTGGGATTTTTGTGCTCTATCTTAAAAAGAAAATCAGAATCACAGGTAATTTGATCTCTTAACGTTATTGGAGTGACCCATTTGATGTAACTCCTGGCGCTAACAAGCAGTGTTGTGGCTTTCCTTTTCTGGTAGTTCCTGTCTGCAGACAAGAGAACTGTTGTACTCGTACATCCATTTGGAAAACACATTTTATTGACTCGGGGTTTTGCAAAGGCTTTATCAAGCTGCTTCCCAAATAATCCTGTTAGGCTGTAATAAAGCCCTCGAAGCCTTGAATCCACATACACAAGCCTACATGAATGCAAAGGGGCAGGATACTAATCCGACATACTAACCTATGTTTTTTGCCCAGTACTTCCTGATACTCCAGACCTTTCCCTGGTTTTAGCAGCAGCAGGGGCGTTCTACACTTACAGTCTCAGAGAAAGGACAACGGAACAGAACAAAGCCATCAACTCTTGGCTTATGACTTGAGAGACTAGGCCTAGAGGAGACCAGACCTAAAGGAAGAACAAAGCTGAACCACATCTTCCCCCACATCTTCCACAGGCTGTGAAGGAAGGACGGTGAACAAGAGACTTTAGATGTTAACACAGGGGGTTCCTAGGTAATGTGGCTCTGTACCCCCCAAATCCCAGAGAGGTCTGGAGGGAAGAGTTCCAGAGGCCCACCAACCTGCCATTGGCGAACACCTTATATGAGAAAAATAGAACCCACTTCGTTTGACCTGGTGGGAGTCCCACCCCATTCCAATCACCAGGCCAGAATTATCAAGGTGAGCTAAAATACTCATGGAGAGCTAGTAGGCTCTAGTAAGGTGTGCTCTTCAGCAGGCAATCTTTCCCTTTTTTCCAAAATGAAGAATTTTTTTCCCCTTACCAGTTCCCATGCTGAGCATTCCACCTTTCTGTCCTCCTCCCTTCCCCCAACGAATGTGATCTTCCTTATAGAATACTAGAGGCCCAGCGCACAAAATTCGTGCACTGGTAGGGTTCCTAGCTGCTGCCAGCTGCGGCTGGGGCCTCTCTCCCTTCCCCAGGCTGGCCAGCCCCCTGGTCTAACTCCCAGAAGAACTCCAGTGGGGGGGACAATTTGCAATCTAAGCTTTTATTATATGGGATAATTACCACCCTGGCCAGTTTGGCTCAGTGGATAGAGCATAGGCCTGCAGACCAAAAGGTCCTGCTTTGATTCTGGTCAAAGACAGGGCTTGTGAGGGAGGTAACTAATCGATTTCTCTCTGTCTTGCCCTTTCTCTTCCACTCTCTAAAAATCAATGGAAAAATACCTTATGGTGAGGATTTAAAAAAAAGAATATAATTACCCATGTTGTCTGTTGAACTGGATTTCTTTTGTTTTAAACATCAGCCAATTTTCACAACTCTGCAATTATGGCAATAGAGGGTAAGCAACCATTTTTGTCAGCTTGACTTTTTTTAAAAAAAATACATATTTTATTGATTTTTTACAGAGAGGAAGGAAGAGGGATAGAGAGTTAGAAACATCGATCAGCTGCCTCCTGCACACCTCCCACTGGGGATGTGGCCGCAACCAAGGTACATGCCCTTGTTGGGAATCGAACCCGGGACCTTTCAGTCCGCAGGCTGATGCTCTATCCACTGAGCCAAACCAGTCACGGCCATCAGCTTGAGTTTTAAACTGACCACTTCACCAATAGACTTCGCCAGGATTGGGTTTTGCCGGGTAGGCCAAGGTAAGTGCGAAAAAATTAATGGCTGAACAACCTTTTCTTTCAAGGTGGAGTTTGAGTAGAGAACAATGTGCAGTAATTTAAAGCTGTGTTCACAAACACAATTCTACACAAGCATAAGGAACACTGTGTGTGTGTGTGTCCTTTCGTAAAAAAAAAAAAAAAAAATGGTTGCTTAAACAAGTGGTTATCCGTTATGGTGTTGACATAGGAAAAGGTGAAATGCTGGCAACCGAATAAAAGCAACAGTGCAACAGGCAGCTCAGTGGCATGTCTGGGATGTTCCTTGGATGGACAAACTTGCTTTTCACTTCCTCTCAATTCTGGTCCCGCCCTCTTAGTGTATCTTCCTGAGAATGTTTAAAAAAAAAAAAAAAAGGAAAAAAGAACATATTGGTCTTACTGCAAGCTGTCTTAGTGTCTGCTGTTCCCTTCTTTTTAACGTCATGGGACTGGGTCTTCCTAACTTCTCCATTGTTTGGTGAGTCGCTTTGCTTTCCCGTGGCTGCCTTCCAGCCCTCCTCGGGGGCTGAAAGCTTCCTAGCGGGGGTCAGTGGAGCACCAGACTCCCAGGGAGCACGGCTCCCGCCGGCCGCAAGCAGCTCCCGGACGCCCGCAGCCCGCGCGCCTCTGCCCGGCGCCGCGCCCGGCCGGTGCCCGGACCCCTCTCCGCACCCGCTCCCCGCCGGCGCCCTGTGGGGCTCGAGGTGCCTCTGGTCAGTTCGCGGCCGCCTGGACCGGGACGCGCGTAACACCGCACCGAGCACTCCCCCGGCGGCGCGGAGGAGAAGGCGGCGGCCCTCTTCGCGCCCCCTCCGCGCGCGGAGGGCGCGGTGGGCGCGGGTCGGAGCCTCCAGCACCGCCCGGATGCTGCAGCCGAGGGGCCTCTGCGGCAGCTGCGGGCGGCCCGGACCGAGCCTGCCCTCGGTGCGCGCGGGGCGCCGGAAGGGGGCTCTGGCTTTCGATCCCTCCCTCTTTCCCTCTGGGTCCCGGAGCGCTCCAGCGGCCAGACCCTCCTCCTCCCAGTCCCAGGTGCCAGCCGGGAGAGGAGGACACGTCTCTGCTCCCGGCACCCCGCCATGGGCAATACCTCCAATGACTCCCGGCCCGAGGACTGCGAGACTCGACAGTGGCTCCCCTCGGGCGAGAGCCCGGCCATCAGCTCCGTGATGTTCACGGCCGGGGTGCTGGGGAACCTCATCGCGCTGGCGCTGCTGGCGCGCCGCTGGCGGGGAGACGCGGGGCGCAGTGCCTGCCGCGGGAACTTCATCTCCTTGTTCCACGTGCTGGTGACCGAGCTGGTGCTCACCGACCTGCTGGGCACCTGCCTCATCAGCCCCGTGGTGCTGGCTTCGTACGCGCGGAACCAGACCCTGGTAGCCCTGGCGCCCGAGGGCCGCGCGTGCAACTACTTCGCCTTCTCCATGACCTTCTTCAGCCTGGCCACGATGCTCATGCTCTTCGCCATGGCCCTGGAGCGCTACCTGGCCATCGGGCACCCCTACTTCTACCAGCGCCACATCAAGCGCCGCCGCGGCGTGGCCGTGCTGCCCACCATCTACGCCGTCTCCCTGCTCTTCTGCTCTCTGCCCCTGCTGAACTACGGGCAGTACGTCCAGTACTGCCCCGGGACCTGGTGCTTCATCCGGCACGGGCGCACGGTGTACCTGCAGCTCTACGCCACGCTGCTGCTGCTCCTCATCCTCGCGGTGCTCGCCTGCAACTTCAGCGTCATGCTCAACCTCATCCGCATGCACCGCCGGGGCCGGAGAGGCCGCTGCGGACCCACCCTGGGCAGCGGCCGGGGCCCTGCCACCCGCAGGAGAGGGGAAAGGGTGTCCGTGGCGGAGGAGACGGACCATCTCATTCTCCTGGCGATTATGACCATCACCTTCGCCGTCTGCTCCTTGCCTTTCACGGTAAGTCACTCACTCGGTTTCCACAGCCCAGCTCTGCGCAGCCTTCTCATGCTCTCCCTCCCACTCCCACTTTTCCATTGCCACGCACACTTTTGTAACACTGTGAAAATGTGCCCTAATTTGTAAAGGTCTGTAAACTTCCCCTGTCGCTTCTCACCTTTACCCCACTTCCACCCCTCCCTAATCCTGGTGCAAGGGCCTCCTTCGGCCAGGGTTTCTCAGACAGTAATACAGTCCCACTCACTAAGCCCGCCACACTCCTCATCCTCGAATCGAAGGCCCCTTACAGTGTCCCTCTCCAGCCACTGCTAGCCTGGCTCGGCCCCTTCCACCTCTGAATGATTGGCAATTGCATCTGACCTCCCTGAGCGGCAGTTTGCCCCCTCGTGCCCCGATCTGCACACTGGTGCTAGTTCTCTGTACTTTGCCTGCTGTTTCTCCCAGGGCAACAGTACCCAACCCATAGCATTCCAGCCGCCATGGAGGATGGCCCCGGGTGAGAAGGGTCCCTGTTGCAGAGCTCCAGAGCAGTCATTATTTGTTCGAAGAGTTCAACAACATCCCCTCCCCAATTCCCACCCCAGGGAACAGGTTTCCCAGTTTACATATGGGTAGCATAACTCTTCGTGGCCGTGAACATTCACAATACGTCTGAAATGGTCGTTAGAGGAAACGCTGGTTGCTAAGGAGCCCCTTGCTAAGCGCTGGGATCCCTCCAGAGGGGGCATTTGCGCTCTTACAAAACATCTTCTAGACATCACACTCAGAAATACACACAGGTGCTCTTCAGGTTGTAATTGTGCATCGGGCACAGCGCCGCAGCAGGAATGGCTGGGCCATCTCAGGGATGGGAGAGGTAGGCACGTCCAGCACTTGCCATGACCCGGCAGGCCAGAGCCAGTCTGAAGAGCTGAAAAGAAAGGAACCTAGGTACCGGGTGGGTGCTGTCCTGGTCTGGGCAACCTCAGCAGTGCGTTCCTTGATGCTGTGAGTTTGAGCCTCCAAGGCAGCGGTTCTCAACCTGTGGGTCGCGACCCCTTTAGGGGTCTAACGACCCTTTCACAGGGGTCGCCTAAATATATCCTGCATATCAGACATTTACATTACAATTTATAACAGTAGCAAAATTACAGTTATGAAGTAGCAAACGAAAATAATTTTATGGTTGGGTCACAACATGAGGAACTATATTAAAGGGTCGCGGCATTAGGAAGGTTGAGAACCACTGCTCCAAGGTGTACAGAGCCTGGGATGTGTCTGAGCGCGGGCTGGCCTCTTACACAGGAATGGAAACTGGAAGTTCGGGCAGCTCCACTTCCTAATCTTCAGAAGAATAAGACTGACCCTGCAGGGAGTACATAGTTGTCAGTGACTCCCACCTGCCACCATCTTGGAGGAAAAAAAGAGACGGGCCATGCCTGCCATTAGCTGGTCTGAACTGTAGAAGCTGAAGAAGTAACTTTATCCTACTTCCCACCGTCATCACTGTTTTTTATTATCTCCATACGCTCATCTTCTGGGGTGGGAAAGGACACAGGGTTCTAAAAGCCCGGATATGACCCTTCCCTGCCCCAAATTAACTCCCTCTCCTAGCTATAGTCTCTTCTCCCTGGTCCTCACCGTCCTCACTGCTACCCCATCCTTTGTCAGGGCAGAAGCTGGTCAGTAAGGTACACTTTGAAGGGAGTGAGGTGGAGTATGTGAAATGTACCCTGTTATCAAATGAAGCAGGACTGTGGGTGGCTACAGTTCCCATCCCACCGACAGCAGGGAAGTCTGTGCCACAGAAATGCGATGATGTAGAAACCAACATGGCTTCTATGGGTTTGTTATGTTTTATTGATAAAACCTATAGATTATGTTAGGAACTAAATCAACTTTTTAGGATTGGGAATAGGATGCAGAATAAGTATCGATGAAAGAAAGCATTTCAAGTTCCATTAAATAGCTTAGAATTCAACCTGGGAGACATAAGTCAGCTCTGAATTGGGGAATGCCTGTCTTGGATAGGTGGGCCTTAGGATATCCGTTCTTGGAATTTTATTTATTATTCGTGAGTATGTATATAAAAATATTCCTGACCCTCAGCTACTTCAGTAGCCTGGGAATGGGCTCAGAGGGAATCAGAAATGTGTGAAAGGATGGTTCTTTCCTTTCCTAAGCCTGGTAGAGGAAGAGAGCAGGAGGAAAGGGTCTCCCCTCTGAGCAGGACTGACCTACTGCATAAACTATTTTTCAAAACAAAGGCAATGATTTTCAATAGTTCCCCTGTTTTTAAGTAAATTTGCCTTTTATCATGAGGACTCCATCATCGCCACATGTTTCTTTCCAAATATATGCAATTTTATATACTTGAATATATATGAATATATATATGTCCCCCCACCCCTTCATTTAATATTAAGCCAGGGGCTCATCCAGAGTTGCTACATGGAAGGGGCTTGGCGCTAAAAGTCTGGTTAGAAGGAATGGGGAGTAGGAGTTGCTTTGCAGCTGTGTTTTTATTAGGATTGCCTGTTTATGGCTTGGGAGGAGCTAGATGAAGATGATTTTGTCAGTAGATTCTTGGTACTTATTAGTTCCTTCATTTACACAGCACTTTAACCCTTATAAAAATGTTACACTATCCCAATTTATTTCTTGGAGGGGCTTATCTGATAATTCACAACTCATGGCTACAGTTTGGTGCATACATTCTGTTGTTTCAAAATGCCCATCATGTGCCCCTCGGGACACTTTCCCCCCTTATCCTTTTAGTTTATTGACCCACACTGAGACTGTGGTCGGAAATGGCCTACACCAGTCTCCCCCCTGGGGCAGGAATCATTTCCACACATCCTACCTGGGGACACTGTTAGACAAGGCAAAGGCTTGTGGTTACCTCTGGACATTCTCGTGTTCCTCTCCCAGAGCACATGCGCTCATGAGCCACAAATGTGAGCCACATGTACAATTTAAAACTTTCTAGTAGCCACACAACAAAAAATAAAAAGAAACAGATATTCATTTTAATCAATATATTTTCTTTAACTCATTTTATACCAAGTATTATCAATTTAAAATGTAATCAAGGTAAAATAATTATTAATGAGCTATTCCCACTAATTTGCTTCCTTGCATCCCAGAAAATACTGGCAATTTACCCTCTCTTTGCCTGTTCCTACCAGAGCAGCTTTCTATGTCCCTTATAAGTGGCCCCAGCAAGAAGGAGAATTCACAGCTGTCTGCCCACTGGGACACCTGCTTATGTGAGCACTTTAGGAGTAGGGGAAGGAGGAGAGTGGGGATTTAGGAAACCTGTAACTACTGATGTCATGGTCCCAAGGTGTGGGCAGGTCAGATTACTGCTTCCTCCAAGGCTCTCAGTCTAGGACTTCCAAAGTTTGGGAAGTACAACTATCAAAATGTAAAATGCCCAGAGCCCGGTGATGAAGTCAAGCTCGACCTCAACAATCATTATTATCATCAACAGCAAAATGGCTAACATTTTTAAGCACTAATTTTTACATACACTAACCCATTATCTTCATAACAACCTCTAAATAGGTAGTATTATTCCCGTTTCCCACCCACAGCTGGGGAGTGTTGGAGCCAGGGTTCAAAGCCAGGCCGTTTAAGCACAGAGTTTATGCTTTAACCACAATCCTATCAGCGAGAAATTGCTCATTTCAGGGGTACCATATGAGAAAGTTAATCCAAAATTTCAAAGAGAAATTGTGAAGATGTTATAAATATGAAGACCACTTTGCCTCTTAATTCCAACTTACTAGCTTTAAAAGTAAAATGGCAAAGACCTTTTTCTCCATGTCTGATCACAGGGCGTGAGCTGGACCAGGTGTGCGTGGTTCCTTTTTTCTTCTCCACAGACCTGCGAATTAAAAGGCTGAGACTGAGGTGTAAGGAGATTGGATAATGTAAATGCTGCTCTAAATAGGAAACATTCAGATTACCTCTCACGTAAAGCCTTCCATTGGCACCATAAAACATTTCTTAACTGATTTTTTTTTAAAAAAAGCACGTGTTGTTTAGGAAATGACATTATTTTCGTTGTTCAGTATGAAAACCTTAATGGGACCAACAACATATTCCAAAACCAAACTGTTTATGTACTAAAGGGATATTGTATAAATTAATAAATTCCTCCTTATGTTAATCAGCTGTTGTCATCATTTCAGAGACAAATAGAAACTTTCTTCATGAAATGGAACAGAATTCAGGAAATATATCAGACTCCATTCTTGCCTCACATACTGTTTGTGTCCTCATTCCCAACTACATCAAGCCACTCTCTCACTACTTTACTAATACCTGGCTTAGCTTCTGTCATTTTAAACTCTTTTCCACATGCCATGAGGATAAAGTGCTTATGCATTTTATTCCGTTCTAAAATTTCAAGAGTGAACCATCACCTCATTCTAAAAGTGTCTTCATCTTTAGAAATTCTTTAGGGCTATAATTTCCAGGTAATACTGATTTGTGGAAATCTGATCTTTGTGATATAGAACAAATTTCAAGTAAACAATACTGGAGTTTGGAGTTTCCTGTTCATTCCTGGTACTCTTTATGACATGAATGGGGGTTATGAAACTGGTCAGTTACATACATGGAAAGTATCACAATTCTAGTAGGAATGAAAGAGCAATCCAGAAATCTCTCTGCGCAACCCCAATGAATTTTGCTTGGTGATATTTTAAGTTAATATCCATGTAACTTAATATTTGTGCATCATTAATGATGTGTTTGGGGATTGCTGAAATAGTTTTAATACACATTACTTTCTGAGAGAAGAAAGTTTTCCTACATGAGTGTTTTCACTCAGTGTCTTTTCCTTTGCACGTTGATATTATGAAACGGTGGTTGTGAATAAAAGCACAATTACACCGAGTTTTTAAAATGTAGACAGCAAGAACCATAGTCCTTTTTCCAAAAGGGAAGTCGTGTGTTATGTCTCCACCCTTGGTTGAGTTAATCATTACTGTTTCATATTATTAAGATCTCAACTGAAAGAAAAACAGCTTTTAGGGATGGTATATTTCTTTTTTTGACATTTCAAGAGCCCATCACAGTATTAAGCTAAAGTGAGGGGAGAGGGGGAAAGAGTAGAAATGGTGCGTGATTGATCTATGGAGACACAGTGTTTCAGGAAGGCAATCAACAAGTCTCTTTCCGCCTAAAGGCCCAGTTAACTTGCAACCTGGTCTGCTTAGTTTCCCTGGCTTCTGTTTTGAAATTTCTGATCACCACTCCCCATCCTCATTTTGACTAAAATTTTTAAGTGTCTCAAATTACATCAAGGTGTACCAGGATTCATTTTTCTCAGACTGTTCCGCTCCCTGAAATTGCACCCACTCTAACAGAAAACCAGACTTAAGACTTCTGCAGTTGCCTATGTGTGCCGGGCCGGGCTGAGGGAAAGTGCATTTGGGAAAGGCTGACACTTCCTGTACACCTGCACTCCATGGTCAGGGCACAGGTCACTTGGAAATCACTTGCAAAACCTTATGTTTATCTGAGTTCTGGGTGGATGGTTCATAGAGTCCAACCTTCTCGCAGGGTTTGGAGTCACCACCCTGGAACACACAGGCCCAGGGCTCCCAACCTTAGCATTAACTCTCCTTTGTGTCTGGCGCTGGGGTCACCTGGAGCGCAAGGCAGGGGACACTAGAGCCACATCCATGCCCCTGTCTTTCCTTCTGAAGGGAAATGGGCTCCTGTTCCCTCTACCACAAAGCACCTATGATTTGGGGGAGGGGTTTCTTTAAAATATCAAATACCTAAAAAATAACCTCCCCGTGAATTTTTTTTTTTAATATATTTTATTGATTTTTTACAGAGAGGAAGGGAGGGAGATAGAGAGTCAGAAACATCGATGAGAGAGAAACATCGACCAGCTGCCTCCTGCACATCTCCCACTGGAGATGAGCCCGCAACCCAGGTACATGCCCTTGACCGGAATCGAACCCGGGACCCTTCAGTCCGCAGGCCGACACTCTATCCACTGAGCCAAACCGGTTTCGGCCCCGTGAATTTTTTTTTAAAAGAATGAATTATGCAAAGCCTAAAGCCAGGACACTCCCTAATGTCTTCACAAGGCAGATAAATATGTAACCATCTCTGCCTGCAATTTAGTTGTAGAAGGGGGGGGAAAGAAAAGCACCCAAAGAAAGCCATGTAGCTACTTAGATACAGCCATGGATCTTAACAGTGACACCCGTACACCTCTGTACCACCTTTCAAAAAGAGGTGTCCGACAAACCCACAATTCAGTCAGTCCCTGGCAGATGTTATATGAGTCCCTACCTCACAGACTGGCAACAGAGTAGTGGCTAAAAGAAAAACTTGGGGCCCACTGCTTGAACATGACTTCAGGGCTTTCCCACTTACCTGGAGTGTGATTCGGGACAAAGTAAGTAATCTTCTAAGCCTTGGTTTCCTCCTTACTAAAAGGGAGTAAAATAATGTTTTGCAGGTCCCTGTAAGGACTAAATAGAATAAGACTTAGCATCATGCCTGGCACAGGTAGGTATTCAGTACATATTAACTGCTATATCCATAGGATTCCAAAGGAAAATTAGATTGTAGGTTGAAGACCAGGAATTCAGGAAGCTTCAAGTCATTTGTTTGACTGGCCAGGCCAAGCGGGTCTTCTGTTTTTATTTCTGGTGTTAGGTAAGGTTCTAAAGCAGGGTTCTCAACCTTGGCTGCACATTAGAATCCTGTGGGGGAGAGGGGACTAACACCGGGATAGATACTCACATTACAGCCCAGATTTAATTGGTCAGAGTCTCTGAAGGAGGGAGCAAGCCATCAGAATATTTTTAACACTCCTTGGGTAATTTCAGCCAGATAAAGTTCCCATTTGCTCTAAAATTCTGAACCCACTATGTGGTTGTATTGATGGTAGGAAAGTAGCTCAAACAAACAGTATCCAGTCAGTGCCAAGATGAAGTTTTCCACGGAAGGATGCAAGGATACTATAAAAGATGAAACAAACAAACAAACAAAACCCACTTATTTTCTCTGTGCAGCTTTGTAGGCATCATAGTCTTAATAAAGCCTAGTAGAGAGACCTATCGTAAGGAATTAAAATTCTCTTGACTCATTTACATTAGTACTTGGTATTTTTCTTTTAGCAAATTTATTAGTAGTATGTGCAAAAATATGTATAAATTCTACCAGCCTCTGAAGCAAAATAGCACTGAAAGGTGATAATTAATTGACTTCTATGCAATGTGTCAGCCTTTAATTAAAACGTAGGATTGGCTGGAGGGGAAGGAAAATGGGGAATTATTGTTGAATGGGTAGTTTCAGTTTGGGAAGATGAAAAGAGTTGTAGAAATGGATGGTGGTGATGGTTGCTGTTCTGTTCTTTTATGGGATTGACAGTCAAGTGTGGCCACAAGAGAAGACAAGAGAACAAAGTTGATTGTACTTACAGGTCCTAGAAACAGGAAGGACTGAACAACACCAAGGGTCACATGGGAAAGTATTAGTGCAAGTCAGGAGGCAGGAGCAGGAGCTGGGGGAGCCTGGGCACGGCCTTCATTGGAGTTCCTGAGGGAAAGGCGAGGCAGGGCGGGGTGGCCAGTGTAGGACTGGCTATTGGAATCATTTCAGCAGGCTCTAGGCCGCAGGACTGGCCCCTAGTTGCCTGGTACTGGGCCCTGGCAAGATTAAAGCAGAGAAATATTGCCTCTTGAGATATAAGGCCAGACAGAGGGGCTCTGGATTGGTTAGTTGCCTATCGAAGGATTGCTCCCAGGTGAGCCCTTGGCTATCTCTAAGAATTGACCATCCCTGAAGGGGCAGTCTCTCCCCAGCCAGAAAGCTTTGTAGGATGTCAAAACATCATAATGTACAGAAAATGAAAAATATAATACAGTTGCACAACAATGTGAATGCACTTAATGACACTGAATTGTACACTCGAAAATGGTGAAAATGGTAAATTTCGTTACATACATTTTATAATGATAATAATAATAAACCGGGATACACAAGATCAAAAATGGTGAACTCTAGACAAAAGACAAGAACCAAATTTTTTAAAAATGCAGAGGTCGGAGAAGACATCTTACATCAAGAACTTTAAGGGCTGCTAAAGTACTAGTATATCTCTTTTCCAAGAGTAAAACAAGAAATTGTCTTCTGCAAAATATTGGCCAGCTCCTGAAAAGCAAATTTTAAGCATTTTTAACAATTTGCATAGTGGATGAAATCGAAACAAATAGTACAGAATTGCTTCATAGTGTAAAACCATTTCTCACTTTTCATTGCTCTGTCATACTCCAAGGAGACCAGGAACTGAAAACCTGACTCATCTTCACGCATGAAGCTGTGACACTAGAATGCCAGGCCCTCCTCACACTGCCCATCTGCTAGCCAGTGCAGTGTTGCCAAAGTCTTTGGCCACACTAGCTTATAAACTCAGACTTTTCTGCTACTGAGTGCTCGTGTGTGTGGATATGGTGACTAATATCTCTTAATCTACCAGATTTACATACACTGTTATCCTGAATTTCTAAACTCCAAAATCACTCCTTAAAGACACCATATAAGTCATGTATATTTCTCATCCAAAATAATTCAGCTGCCAAGAAAATTATTGCCTCATTGCATATCCCCACCTAACTTTCTCTTCTCTCTATAATCAGGGAATCCACCATCAGTCTTCTTTTTCCTTACTCATCTGCCAAGCCTTTTCTCCATTCCCTATGCCAAGATTCTCTGGCATAAACACCTGTGGCTGCCAAACCTTCCTGCTATTGTCCTAACATAAGCAACTCGAACAGGACCACTCTTCCCCCTCCCTGCAATTTGCGTTGTATATCCATTCGTCAGATGCCTACAGCGTAAGCAGGAGAGAAGGAAATAAAACATTCCTTCCTCTGGTGAAGGAGAGTGGAAGAAAGAAGGAATAGCTTTCTAACTCGTGGGCTCCCGTTAGCAAGAAAGTCACTGGAACATTATAAAGTGGTTTTAAATGACTGGGTGTGATTTACATCTGTTTTCCTCTTTTCTGTACGCTGTGTGGGAGTGTTTGATCTTTATCGTGCACGTACAGTTCCGTTCCTTTTAATCTGACCAAAAAGTTGTGTTGCTCCCTAAACATCTAAGACATCCAACGAGAGCTGTGTCCCAGCATGAAAACATTGGCCCACATGTAAAGATGGATCAGCCTCTCAGTGTTTAAGACGTTGCTCTGAAGACCTTTGCTGTAACATCGGCGACCTGGATGGAGCACATGGTGAGCAAAGCACCGGTGCCAAGGGAGCTGGCACTTGTGTCTTGACTCCACCACCAAACAGCCCTGGGTACTTGGGCGAGTCGCCGAACTTCTCTGCACCTCGGGGTCCTCGTTGGTGAAATGGAGAGAATAACTAACATTGTGGGGCCCCTAGTAAGTGAGCACTATTTTATACAGCTTATACATATTACTTCCTATCCTCTTCCCAGCTAAGCAGTGGGTATTGTTGCTATTACCACCTATTCTATACAGATGTCACTGAGGCACAAAGAGGTTAGAATTTTACTTCTGGTCCCAAAGCTATATATGGAACCCGGGTTCAAACCAGGCAGCCCAGAGGCCAGAATCCATGCTCTGTTGTGTTTCCTCTCGCGCTGAATTGTGATCATCAAATCAGATTATCTGGAAGTGAATGTAACATGTTGATATGAACTTTCCTGAAGTTCACTTCCTCATCCGCCAAAAGGAGACAATACTTCTGTTTCAGGGTTTTTGAAAGGCATAAACCTACGGAAGAAGAGTGAGAATTTGCTATCCACCTTTCACCACCACCACCACCACACACACAACAGGTTTTGTTTTAAGTCTGAAGAAATTGCATATGGTCTAAACCTGTCTAATGCGATCATGTAAAACTAACATCATTTTCCCCTTTTGCTTCTTACAGATTTTTGCATATATGAATGAAATCTCTTCCCGAAAAGAAAAGTGGGACCTCCAAGCACTTAGATTTTTATCAGCCAATCCGATCATCAACCCTTGGGTCTTTGCCATCCTGAGGCCCCCTGTTCTGAGACTAATGCGTTCGGTCCTCTGTTGTCGGGTTTCATTAAGAACACAAGATGCAACAGAAACTTCCTGTTCTACACGGTCAAATGCCAGTAAACACACTGACCTTTGTGGACAATAGCTAAGAAGTGCTTAGTTAGCCAGCATCTGGAAGATCATTCTGAAATGGTTCCTTGGAGAAATGAGAAAAGTAGTTTGTAAACAAAATGAAGCTACCCTAATACGACAGAGGAAATCAACATTCAGCAGTGGTTTAGGCTGCAGAGGAGCTGACAAGCACTTCCTGGAAGGTGTCAGGGGGAGCTATGGAAATCCACCCTCCGTGAGCATGTTAGTTACAATGGCCTTTAGAGGAACAACCAACTGCATTAAAGATCGGTTGCCTTTTGATTTAAGATTTCCTGTTGAATGAGAAAGCATGTGGTTTGTAATCTGTTTAAAACCTGAGTTACTGTGTGTTTTCCATTTTACTCTTCTGTGTTACTACTGTTATAAACATACAGTGCACAGTCAAACCAGGTAAAACTTCATATGTGTTTTCTAGGAAGTGGATATGTGGGAGCAACCAAGCCTCATGTTCTGTGATTGCTTAACAAACCCTTTCTTTGGACAATGTGTTTGTGAATCATAGGCACTTTGTTGTATAATGTGTGTGTGTGTGTGTGTGTGTGTTGTGAGGGGTGCGGGGGGGGAGTGCTCTCTCCTCACTGCGGTGTTACTAGTAGAAGAGTAGACTCAGTTGGTTAATGTCGGTTTTTTCACTAGTCCTCCGGAAGCTGTGTGTCAAAGTATCAGATTATTTATTTTATAATGTCCAATAGTAATTAAGAAAACGTTAAGAATTTTCCAAGAAATAATAGACTAGTAAGAGAGTTGATTCTGATTAATACTCTTCATTCTATTTCCAGGGGAGAGTATATGTTGCTATGTCTGAAGCCACATATTTAGGGTTAAAAACTGAAAATTCTAGTCAATTCTTCAGATACACTGGAACCATTTTAATGCTGGTGTTGAGGCCATGACTAATATCCACTTTATAAGATGATTGTGTTGTAGCAAAATTCATCTGCCCATATTTTTATCCAGGAAACATGGTTAACTAATACTACATAGGAAATCCTGTGTCAGTGAGTCATATCTTTATATATTTCTACATCTAAATGTTTGGCCTGGTGTAAACTCAGCATCAAACTATTTCAGTGAATTTGCACTGTTTAATCATATCTTAGTTACTGTGTAAACTCATCTGAAATGTTACAAAAATAAACGATAAAACAAAAATTTAAAAATGAAATAGTATTTGCTAAATCCTCCCAAATAACATTTAATAGCTAGAATAGCTATAATATTTTTTCAATGAGATGAAAATAGAAAAAAATTTAACTTGGCAGGTTTTTAAAGTATGGTTGCATTGTAAATTAGAGCTTAAAATATTCAATATAGTACTTGGTACTAGAGGATTTTTTTTTCCTTCCACCATGATCTTCCAAGTACTAGAACCATCTGTTTTTTTTTTTTTCTAGTGAGTGTTATTACAAGATAGCTGTTATAAAAAAGACAAAAAGGGATGTTAGTTTTTTCCAAAATCTCATTGAGTTGCTTACGTAAAAACATTTCCTATAAGTAGTTATCAAACTAGATGATCACTTGGAGTTTTTTTCAAACCATTCAAGGCACCAGTGTATTTGACACAATCTATGTCAAATCAGCTCTTATTTTAAAAAGAATAAATAAATGATTTGCTTTTCTATTAATTTAAACAAACCAGGCAAAATTTAACTTAACTAAAATCTGCACATGTAAATAAATCTTCCCTGTCTACCAAGTAGAACTAATTAAGCTCCTGGGTAATTCCTAAACATAAAATTCTGAGGTTACTTTGAATCCGGAAGATTGAATTCTTTCATTAGATGGGCTTTTTCCCCTCCAAATGAAAATGTTAACTACATTCCTTCACCCCATCTCAACGCCCCCCCCCCAAAAAAAATCTGGAATAATGCCTGATAACTTTTTTAAAAAAGCAAACTTGGACATAATATCACTAGTGATGATGTTAATAAAATAATTCACTCTGGCGACCCAAAATGTAACAGTTTAAGCCATTTATTTAAGAACTGGTAGATCTCTAGAGCTTTATTTCCTAGTTTACTCCTGTTTCTTGCACTGTTAAATGACTATTTCATTTGCACTGATATATACATAGAAGGAATTGAAAATAAAAATCCTATGTAATAGTCATTCACCTACTATGAATGGTAATTTAAAGGCAACAGAAAAATTTACTAGGATTAGATATATGTGGATATTTCTTTTTTTAAAATCCCACCGCATCAGACATACTTGTTTAGGTTTACTGAGTCATTTTCAAGTTAAATGAAAAACACTTAACTTAGCCTGGTATATTAAAGAACCAAATTGTGATGAAAGAAGACCTAGATTTTAGTCTTTGCCCTCGACAGGCAGTGGAATGAAAAGGGAGAAAGAAAGTATAGTGGATATTCACCTCAAAATGCCAGCTCCAACTTTAGGTATCCAGAGTGGGCCAAAGCAGTCTGTTCTGAGCTGAATTATTGCTGGACAGTTCACTGTGCCCCCCCAGGTCATCTTTCCCAGGAAAGAACTGGGAAATTCTTGTCCTAAATTGTGGCCTCGAATCTCCAAAGATACTGTAGGGACTCGAGTTTGCTTAGAAGCTATAGAAAGCCTCTCCAGAAGACCTGAACCTCAGAGAGTTTGAACCCAGAATCAGACCTAGAACCAGACCAAAGCTCTAGAAACAGCACCCACCCTAAATCGCCATGCTGGCCGAGGCTGCAAGCCCTGAGCAGCAGGTAGGGCAAAGCCGAGACACATCATTACATTCTCAGTGTAATTCAGTTAAACTGTTAACGTCCCTGCCTCCTCCTGTCAATGCATATTGAAAGAAAGATTGCCCTGACCGGTTTGGCTCAGTGGATAGAGCGTCGGCCTGCGGACTGAAGGGTCCCGGGTTCGATTCCAGTCAAGGGCATGTACCTTGGTTGCGGCCACATCCCCAGTAGGAGGTGTGCAGGAAGCAGCTGATCGATGTTTCTCTCCCATCAATGTTTCTAACTCTCTATCCCTCTCCCTTCCTCTCTGTAAAATCAATAAAGTATATTTAAAAAAAATTAAAAAAGAAAGAAAGAAAGATTGTCCTCATGTTAATGTAATGTCATTTCTGATTTGAACCAAGAAAAAAAAACACTGTAGTCAGGTTTAGAATTTGATGACTTAGAAAGTCAGGCTAAGACAATTCGCTAGCACTTGAGCAGAGGTTTATTTATTTCACTTCTCCAAATGTAGTGGTTTAAGCCAATCAAATGGTTTTCTGAATCTGAGAAGAATCCCTACGTGAGCCGTTCACAGAGAGAGAAGCAGTCTTGTCTGCAAATGAGTGATTTCTATATATGGGCTTACAAAGCCCTCTTATACAGGTGGTGTTGCAACTTGAATATTTGATGTCTATTTTCTGTCTTCATCAAACACTTAACTCCATTGGATTTCCTCTCCAAGGCACATTTATAACATACCTCCAGTCACTAACAGCATTATAATTGATTGCTTTTAAATTTACAAAGTATTTGATTGCCTGAGTGAAATACACTATGGAAGTAAATGTTGTTTTAGCAATTCCCCAAAGCTATAGTCTAACTTATACAGGGGGCCAAGGCCATGCATTGGGCATTAATTGTTTATTTCAGAAAGTTACTTGTTTTTGTTCTGGTAGATTGTGTAATTTTTTTATTGTAAGTAAATTTCCTTGAATTATATTTTTTTATTTACTGTACAATGTCTGTACTATTAAAAGTCCGTTTGAGTGGTCTAATTCTGTGATATTCGTGTTTCATTTGTGAAAATCTGCCAAGAGTCAAGTACATCAGTGAGGATTCCAACAGATGGAGATGACACACTCAAAAGGGTGACTCAGGACTGTTGGATGAAAGGAATATTTACAGAGAAGGAAAGGAAAGGAAACCTTGCAGCTGTTATCACTCATAAGAAGGGAGGAGCAGTTTCTGGAAACCAGTGAGAGCTGTAGGAGGTTCCACCCAGCAGGAGCTATGGCCTTCAGCTGGGAAGCACAGTTACTGCCACCACAGGGTGGAAATGAAGGGACTACCTTCCTGGAGGATCTCTCCTCCTACTCTCTGTTAGTCTGCTTGTTCCTCCCATTGGCCAAACCCAACCTTAATACAGACAGTACAAAGAACCTGGGTAATGAAGCCTGGAGTATGGGTGGAGAGTAGACTTAGAGGGACAAATGGAGAATATCCAGCATAAGTAGGTTAAAAATTCATGGTTTGTTTTGTTTTGTTTTTTGCTGGTTTGTTTTTTTTAGTTATACCAACACAAAAAGTGAAGAAACCACAGCATGGGCAGCCTCTCTTCCTGACGTTTACTCCAAATAGATACCCACGCCTGGGGAATAGGAATCAGCCCCATCTGCATGGGAAGGAGTAAAATACTGTAGGTTTCTTTACCACAATAGTGGTCATTGGCTAGGTGCTCTCTGAGGCTGAGCATGTATATCTCTCCTACTCTGGAGGCAGTTAATATGATCAGGGCAGAGAAAGGGGACCAGACCAAAGCATCTTTCAATTTACCCTGCCCACAGCCCTATAGCTTATAGCTATTTCTAAGGAGAACAAAGGGAGACAGCCATGTATACTCATCTGGAAATGTACCACTGGAGTGAGAAAAATCGAGAAAAAGCTCACTACGATGCTGAGGGCATGCCATATCCCCAAGTTTAACATAAGTTGGGATAGGTCTATACAGCTGTTATCAAGAAAAAGTATATGTAACAACTCAACAATTCTGCATAGTTTAAAATGCTGATAAAAATATCATGAAAAAGCAAATTTTAACTAACTGGAAAGAGATTGGACAAAGTATGATGCCTTAGGCCATCTGTTCATGTTGTCTTTTCGGTACCACAGAATCTGTCTTTACTCTCTCCCTCAGCTCCTAGAAAGTACTTTTCCTAGCACACACTGTTTCCGGTCCACCCCCCCACCCCCCCCCCATCATTAGATCCTGTCCTCCTGCATGCACACACTCAACCTTTCCCCTTTTGGCAAATTCTAGATTTACCAGGAGATATTAAAGATTTGTCAGACTGCTGGGTGTTTCTCAGACAAGTTATTTAACCTCTCTCACTCTATAAAATAATAATAATGAAATTATCTATCTCCTCAATTATTTTGAAGATTAAACAAGTAACTGCATGTAGGACATTCAGAATAGTGCCTGGATGTGGTAATGAAATTAGGAATGACTATTATCTTAGATGCCCAGTTCAGTGGCCCCGCTGATTTCCTCACACACATCTGACTCAAATTGCTCCCTGTTGGTAGGGGCTGAGGTGCTAGGG